CATGACTGCACGAGATCGAGGCTTTGGAATGTTCTTCTGCAGAACGAGCGCTCGCGCTTGAAAAGCATGTCTCAGAGGCAGGAGCGCTGGGTAGCTCGCGCTTGTAGCTTTTGCCGTAATCTTAGCTGAAAGGTGAAGGGCGATTGCAAGCAAGGACACCGGCCGCCGCCATGCCTCTATTCACGCGAACAAGTTCGTACAATTTCAATATTTTCAAAGCGATGTTCCCGCCCAAGCTGCACGTACTTGCACTCATGGAGCACCAGTCGTGACACCATGCTTGCATTGGCTATACACCTTTTCTCACAAGGGCGTAGCCATCATGAATGTCGTCACTTCCGGTTGGCGGTAAAACATCGTTTTAATCTCTCCACGCCGCTAAAAGTTGTTTACGAAAAAGGCGTGATTGTCACACATCTTTGTTTAGCTACGGCCGGGCTGGAAGCGCGTGCTCTCTTTCTCTTCTTACGGCCTTTGCAATTGGGGCAATCGCCACCTCCCGCCGCAATTCGCGGGGGGCGCTGTCACCTCACCCCTGGGCTGCCCTTTGCTGTTTGCACAGAGCGCGTCTGCGCTGTCGCAACTTCCGGCAGAGATTTTTATAGCCTTTGACACCTGATCATTACGTTTAGACCCTCAGCCACTATCTAATGCGCTTCTGATGAGCCCAAAACGGTGAATACTTGGCGCACGTCTCAGAGAGATTCGGGAGTAAAAAGTAGTCAATAGAGACAGCGAATGCAATTGCGGAAAAACTATACTCGTCTTTGCCTCCAGGACTTCTGTTGCAACTCAAGAACAGGAGGAGACGGACCCCTTCTACATGAAGGAACTTTGAATGATAAATAATTCGTACACTCGTGAAATGTAAGCAGGCCCAATCTATCGAGTGCCGTGGTCTGCATCATCATTTCATAGGCCGCACATGAAATCGGTCAGCTGCACTAGACGAGGGTGTCTACAATTTTCGCACAGTGAATATTACAGCCTGAAGTGCTTCCTCGAGGGCTTGTGCACATATCCAGCTGATTTTTCGTTTCTCCGTAACCGTCTTTGCATGGTTAATCAGAAGTATTCTAAGGAACTCGTTGGAAATTAAACCAGTCAAACGCTTTGAGTGACTGTTGTTAATGCCCTCTGGGCAAATTAGGATTTGCGCGTCTTCAAGATAGGGTGCAATGAGTTGCACCCTATCTAGTTGCAGGACTTCGTGCACATTGGTACACGGAAAGTGCTGAACAGCCTTTAAAAAACAAAAAGAAAAGAGCAACAATGTTGTCCAGAAGTGCGAGGAACCTAGGATTTGGATAATGAAGTCCACTTTTATCCTGGCCTTGCAATAAGACGAACAGAGGATCACCTCTGTTACTCGTAGTCAACAGCAAAACACAGGCTTCGCACCCAAACTCACTAATGAGTTTTACCAGATAGCCATCGACGTACACCAGACCAAAGTTGCCAAAACAACAACCTACAAAGCTCGAACACCAGCGCAAAGCAGCTCGAAGGGACTCTCTGAGCGGGGTGAAGTGGGGTGAGGTGGTTGCGCCCCTGGCGGCAAGCAAGTGAACTACATACGGAGAAAAAATGCCATTGACTCCCCGGCGATTGCAAAGGCCGTAAGAAGAGAAGGAGAGCGCGCGCTTCCATTCCGGCCGTGGTTTAGCCTCCCCTATATTTTCTTGCATACTCCAGGTTGAAATGTTTTATTATTTTTTCGTCCCGCATACCAGATACAGAACCCACTTGACTGAGAACGGCAGGAAACGGAAAACGTCTATGGCACACTCAGCCACCGATACTCCCAAGTCTCAGTGTCATTTAGTGATAAAACATTAGAAATACAGTTCCATTAAAAAGCAACAATAACCTTGAAGGAGGGAAAAAAGGGGATCCTCAAATCTGTTCAAACAAAGGCTGTACAAGGTCTGTCCACTCATGTTGTCAAAAAGCGTATTAAGGCCGATATCAACAAATATTTATTTCAATGTCCATACAAGTGTTACGAGCTGCAATCTATAAACTTCTGTGTCAACAAATGCTATACACGTTTACGTATGTTTGTAAAATGTAAATTACAAATAGGCATTAAAAACCCGATGCAATATCTCTACAATTTTTTTTGGCTGTAGTCCATAGGCTTCTGTCTCAACAACGGATACGCGAAGATTGTACTGCCACGGCTATACAAAGTACACAAATGACGGATAACAAGCTCGTTCTAATTTGGTTGCAGTTCTTAACAACTTTGGCGTGTTTCTGGCAAAAAAAAGTGTCTGTTTAGTTAATAGAAACAAATATATTGAGAAAAAAATGGCCCCGTGCAACGTTGCCAAAGTCGTTACGACGTCGAAAATATTTCTATACACTGTCCGAATGCTTCGTATATAAGGGCAGTTGCAGTCATCAAAGCCATAGATATGGGAAGAGTTTGGCCAAGGGGCGTGGCCTCCTTGACAGCCCGTCAACCACGTGACTGACACGTCACACGAACGCCATGGCCACACTCCAGTTCGCCATCTTCGAGCCGGGCCGACTCCAGGGACCTATAACTGCGTGCTTGGTTCTCGGTTTCCTTAAACGTAGGTCCGTTTGATTCTGTTTTAACTTAACCGCTAGCAGTATTTACGCGGCTTCGTGTTTATTCAGTCGCTCCAGTAAGTAAGTTCCCGGTTACCTTGCCAATTCTCCTTCCATTCGCGCAGCGACAAAAGCCTGTTCCTACACATAGCATGCGCTCGACGTGTCGCACACACTTAGATTTGTTCAGTTTTAGTTAATGTCATGTGTTTTTCAACGGGGCACATAACCAACTACTAATTCGCAGCTGGCAAACTTTCTGTACAATATTACGGTCGGCGAAGGTAAACAGGTGGTCAATGGATTACAGGATGCGATCGTCACCCGAGAACTTGGGCTGCACCCGTTTTTTTTAATTAGATAATTGTCCGTTAGAATGTAAAAGGAGCTCAAGCCATTCAACCCAAATGATAGTTTTACGAAACTACGTTTTTTTTATCTTTTTTTTTTTTCTCTTACTTATTTGTCAGCGTCTCAAATAAGATTGCTTTCTCGAGGCCAGGCTCCTGATTTTCGCGGCGAGAAGCTCGCCATGGGTGCTTCTGTTTTCCTCACTGTGGATAGTGCCAATGCTACTCACGTGTTATATGTTTTAATCTTCATAGTACACAGATGCTTGGGAATGTCAGTGCTTGCACCAGCCGAGGAAGTTCAAGTACCTCACTCTCGGTTGCGAAAACATTCTACCAGGCGGAAATACCCAAACTTCTCGACGCGAATAGGATGCCTACCGCGAGCCTCAACCGAGATCTTTCACCAACGAGACACCGATCCCTTTTTCTTCACATCGTTGAGGAAGCCGGACGGTTGCTAAGTAAACTTCGAGCGGCTGAGCGTTAGACGACTGTACGCATGCAAATAGTGAACTAACTCTTTCTGAAATAATATATATATATATTAAATTAATTGGAAATTGTTTAAGTTAAAAAAAATTATCAGAAGACAAAAATAAACAAACTCACTTTTCAATGCCTAAAATTAAATTGATTGGAAGCCATCGATTAATGCTTCGATTAATTTATTTTATGGTGTGGGAAGAAAGTCAGGGAAAATAAGCTGCGCAGCGTGTAGCATATGACGTGTCCCTGTTTCCCGCTGCATTTATTCACACTATGGTCTTGACCAGAGCAAGATCAGCATCATAACTTCATGCGCAAGCAGCTCTTTCAAGAACCTATGTCACGAGACCGAAGCTACTAACCATTCTTTAGAAACCCGTACCCGTGTTATCGTATATATCTTTGAGGACAGCTATGTTCTATAAATACAACTTTTATATCTGAAGAAAAATTCCTACATCTCAAAGTCGGGAACCTGCTCTGGATGTCCACTTGATTTTCACATACTATTTATATTTTGATTTTTTTTTAATTTTGGGGTTATATATATATATATATATATATATATATATATATAACCACAACCGTCAAGGTTTACCTCTTCGTATGACCCAGAAATATATATATATATATATATATATATATTTCTGGGTCATACGATGAGGTAAACCTTGACGGTTATGGTTATATATATATATATATATATTTCTGGGTCATACGAAGAGGTAAACCTTGACGGTTGTGGTTGGAGCATTCAACGGCACAACACCCGACAACTGTTGAACCAAAAAACTCAAATCGTTGAGCTCGGTACACGGAATAACATGTGACCCGGCATGCTCAGGCATGGGGAGTGAAATCGTTGACGGCAGGCAGGTGCGCGTTGTTCGCACAGCGTCCCCCGTTGCAAGGCGGTTGCTAGACTTGTGGGAGGAGCCAAGAGGCTGCAAGAGGTCACATAAAACAATAGATGGCCAAACTGTCCCCTCATCTGTAGCTGTGGTACTGACTCGACTCCAGCACCTTCTTCAGCCACTTTCCTCCTTTCACTGCAAACAGATTGTTTGGCCCAACATTAAAAATAACCTTGTATTTGCAATAGGTCCGAATAGTTTTCCACATTACAACTATGCAGTATATGTGGAGGCGCATAAGCGCGTAAAAAGAACTGGTAACCTGCAGTATCCAATGCGCGTGCGGACATCTCTTTTTTGCAAATGCCTTAGTGATCATCTTGGATCCTCATGTAACGGTCCACGATTCAAAACGACGGACTGTTTTTGTGTTTAGTAGTGAACTATGAGTCAACTAAATATGCAAACCTTCTTGGCTGTTTTTTTTGTCTAGTGTTCAGGATGGTCTAAATAATGTTGCTAGTAGTTACAGCAGGAACATCATGACGTGCTCCAGCCACGGTCGGCGTCGACCTTCCGCGCAAGTTCTCTCCAGTGCTTCACGAAGCGTCGAAACCTCTCCGCGCAGAGTGTCGTTCCCACACTTTGAAGGTGCCTTTCAAGGACGTCCACGAAGTTCCGCTCCAGGCTTGTTCCCAGTTCGTACTGCATGATAATGCATCCGAATTCAGACACCCGAGCTCTCGTTGGCATTCCAGACCGCGCCACCTAACAGAGCGCATAAATGCCCTACCTGCTGCATTGCCGAGCCGATGGCACCGTAAGCTTTCTCTTTCAGCGGATCAAAGAAGGTGTTCTCCGTGCCGTGCACGATTGCCGGTATCTCGTTCTGGCAGGCCAACTTTGACCAGCAGACACCGTGTATGAAGTTCCATCGGCACGGCCCCACGAGTACCCTATCAGGGTGGTCGTGGAGCACGATGTTGAAGAGGTCCTGGTCCCTGTACTCGAGGTCATTGCGGTATTCGTCCGCCAGCCCCACCAGGCGAGCCTCCAGGCCGAAATCACGCATCCGTGTCAGGTTCATCAGCATCACACCGGAGTTGAGACCTGTACACCATGGTCGTAGTTAAAAGGGCGGTACAAGGATTTTCAATAGGAATGTCTTTCACTTTACACGAGCTTACTGGCTCTAAGGGGACTCAAGGATACTCGCACTCAAAGCCACTGGCGAAGACGCTCCTTTGTTGCGGCGTAAACTCAAGAAAAAAAGCGAGCGTTTTCATTCAATCTCTCTTTCGCAAAACTTGGTGACGTAGCTGGGCGGTCGCAGCACCGCCTATTGACAATATTCGAATGCAACTTATGGATTGGACCCGAGCACTGCGTGGGCACTCGATTTAGGCTCGTGATAATCATCATCATTATCATCGATAGGTCGACGAGCATTCGGGTAGCGACCCGTGTCCACTCGCTGCAATGACGACAATAGCCGAACCATAACAACGTCTCGAAATCAGCGCGAGGCTCCTGTGCCTTGCCAACCCTATCACTCTAAAGAAAGTATCTGCGTCTACTTTCACGCACATCACTCCGAGAGCCAATCACCGCAACTTACGGATACAGCTCAGCGAATGGCGATGCCGAAAAATATGTTTAGACCAGAAAAACGCAGTCTCAGTGGTGACATTAAGCAATCCAAGCGTGACGTTTTGCATTGCTTAATGTCACAACTCAGACTGCGTTTTGTAGTCTAAACATGCGTTTCCGTATCGTCATTCGCTGAGCTGCCTCCGTAAGTTGCTGTGATTGGCTCTCCAAGTGTTGTGCGGGAAAGTAGACTTAAAGAGATATTTTAGAGTGTAGCGCCAATGTTGATATGATCAACATTGGCGGCATATATTCGGCTCCAGATCACGTGGCCGCTTGTTCTGGTTGCGAGTTGAGGGAGTGAACGCTGCTAGTTTTTCTTAACTGTTTTATGCGGCTTCGATTGCGTGTGGTGAAAAACGAAAGGTTGTTTCACAGGTCATTAACGTCAGGGACCCGTTCTAAGCGGTATTTGCGCAAGTGCAATAATTGCTACATTGCCCCCTTAAGAGATTTAGGCCGCGGTTACACTGCTAATACGTCGTACAAAAGACAGTCTTCTGACATAGTCTGAGGCGTGTTTTTTTATTGTGTGACAATCTTGTCACTTTGGTTGTACAAAAACTGTCTGCAGGATCGTTCGCAGCACGCATATGTATGAAGAAAACATCCTCTGAACATTCTTGAGGCGTGTCCACATATAGTTCTGTCAACATGTCGGTTGCAAACATCGTGTATATTAAACTAATGTATGAGCAGTTTAAATGCGGCTCCAGGAGGGTTGCGCCGAATTTTTACAGCGAAGCTGTTATGTGCAAGGATCTGGAAAAAAATGCGTCCATAGATGTTAGCAAAAAATGACCGTTTAAAAAGCTCTCCTTCGTTCAGATTGGTCGTGGCAAGTATGAATAAAAAGGAGGAGGCAACCCGCGAGCGAGCCTTCCTTAGCATTATTAGATAGTGAGGTCCTGATCCCCTGTTATTATCTACGGTCACCGATTTATCTTAGCTAATGGCGAATTGAGGAGGAGGAGGGGAAGGTACGGAGAGACGGCATGCCCCTCCTCCTCATCCGTACCCTCTCCTCCTCCCCCTTCATTTCCCCCTTCCGTGCTCCTCGCCTCCCCCCTCTTCTCCTCATCCTTCTCTCTCCCCCGCGGTGCATTATGGGACATTTCCCATAATGTACCGCGCGGTTACGCCGACACCTGTGCATTAACGCGTCGTGGCTATGCGTTACGCCGACGCGTTACGGTTTCGGTGACGTCGACGCGTCACGCCGATGCGTTACCGTTTCGGCGACACTGACGCGTCATGCCGATGCGTTACGCCGACGCGTTACGGTTACGCCGACGCGTCATGCCGATGCGTTACGGTTACGCCGATGGCGACGGCGACGCTGCTCAAGCCGGAAACTAGCGCCTAAGAGCTGCGCTCTAAAAAAAAAAAAGCAATCCCACACTGGATCGAATTGGGGTCTGCTGCGTATGAGGCAGATACCTTACCACTAAGCTACGCTATCGCTTCGGAAAATCGTTGTAACCGCTGCCTATGTTGACGGCGGCAGCGTCTATCTCCACAAGCCAGCCAATACGGCGTGAGCGCCGTTGCTAGGGTGTCTATCGTTGCTAGGAGTCCTCCCCTCCCTCTTTTTTCCCCTCGCCGCTTTGGGAGTTCACGCGATCGAATACAGGCTGTCCGGTGAGCTTTTGTCCGGGATTCAATTCTTCCAATGGTGCCCTCGCGTCCACGTACCGTAGCGTCCGTAGCGAGGCATCTTCCGTTGTCTGTGGAAGTACAGGCTGAGGGACGGGTCCTCCACATCGGAAACCATGAAGGTCAGTTGTTGGTCGTTCATCTCGCCGAAGTACTTCCAAAGATCTTCGACGGGGTGGAGGAACATGATGTCGGAGTCGACGTACAGCACCGCGTCTTCTTTGGGGAGCACGCTCTGCGGAACAGCAACGTATGCCACACAAGCCATCATGGCGTAGGTGCATTTACTCAATTTCAGTTCCACAGTACCCCCTTTATACCGCTGTTTTGTTATAGCCTGGTTACTAGAGCTATAAACACCCCACCCCCTTCTGACCAATGACAAAAAAAAAATCTTTTTTGGCAACTTTGAATAATGTTTCACGGTATCAAGTGTTCACAAATAGTTTTCCTTCTGACCAGTTGGCTGCTCTCAAGCGAACAATATAAAGCCCCTTGACATACGCAAAACTCACGCTTCACGTGTCTTAAAAGTACCGACGACAGCCATTGTGCGAACGCACAACGGTTGTCGTCGGTACTTTTAAGACACGTGAAGCGCCCCGTACAGCCGACTAGTGCTTTACGGGGCGCAGGCCTCACACACTGACGCATTAAGCTCTACTTCTAAAACGAACACAAACACATGAAGGGGCTTTAATCCATACCATTGCATCATGCCACCACTATTTGTCATCTTAGAACCAGAAAATCCAAGGAGACAAGGAGACCACGCCCCCTTGTCTTCTCGGAGTTTCCTCACTGCCACATGCATGCATCGAAACAGAATGGATCCAATCAGAGGTGTCTCGAAGGCACACGCCGCCGCGTACAACGCTGTACGACGCTTGCTGGCACGTGGTGCGTGCCAGTAATGTGCCCTCATGCACACCATTCCAATATTTACAAGTCCTCAGCCTGAAGCGTGCGCCCTCCTGAGTACAGCAAGCGCATGATCATCGTTTCGGAAAGCCGAGCAGTCACGCGCCATTCCCACAAACACAGAAAATGGAACCGGCCAGGAGCCGTTCTTTGGACAGGGTCTACACGTACCGGTAGGAACATCCGCTGGTAGTCGCACCGCTTAAAAATATCTGGGCGCTTCGGAATGCGGACGAGACGAAGCTCGTAGTCGACTCGCTCCAGGAATATGGCTGGCCATCCCTGGATCTGCGTAGGAACACCATGCGTGGGTCACGTGGTTGCCTCTCCGCATACAACCAACAGTGAGGTTTACCTCGTCCCTTCGCTAAAGCCAACCAGATAGCACGAAAAGTGCGCTGTCACGGTGCTGGTCGTTCTCGTGACCGGCTAAACCGATTACGAACAGAAAGAAGCGCAGGATCGCCGGACATTCAGGTGCCTCAATGGTTTAGTCGGTGGTGGCAAACGCGCAAAGATGACCAGGCGTCGTGACAATGCATATGTTGGCGCTGTTTGTTTGGTCCACTTGTATCGTATTCCGAGCAAAAGTTCCTCTGCTTCTTGCATAGGGTTTCGATGATGTCAGAACGCCAAGCTCATATTGGCTGATTGAAACAAAAAATAGTGGGTAGACAATTAGGCGCCTAGCCTTAAGGTATACCAATCATCTCTTCAATCAAAGCCAATCAGACCTCGGCGTCGTTCTGACGTCATCGCAACTCCTACACAAGATGCAGACCAATTTCTTTCCACATACCGTCAACTGCGGCCGGACTTCAGGCGAGACGAAGAATAAAGATGTTTCTGCAGCACCCCTTGTGCCTAAAAGGGTGCTGACTGCCGGTAGGGTTTTCAAGTAGAACCTATAGCTGCAGTGGTTCTCAACTATTGATGTTTCGCGGACCCCTGGTGGATCGCGGCGGCGATGATGGAGGACCCCGTTCATGGTGAGCAAAGGGAAAGGTATCGGTTAATTATGATAATGACTTAATAATATATGAATATAACTTAGGGTTAATGGGTAGCAGACTTCTCTTATTGGAATACTCAGCGGAAAACTGTTTCGAAAATTGGAACGTTTCTTCTGAATTTGAAAAAAGAAAGACAACCCTTTTTGCCGAGCTTGCCAAATGAGGCGGGGCTTCGCGGACCCCCGTTTGAGAACCACTGCTATAGCCGCTACAGGAACTATCTAAAGTGTTCTACCCCTATTGGGCAATTATGGTGATAACCCTCCAAAAGCTATCAACTAAAAAAATTAAAAAAAACATTACATACGTATTTTGTGGCTACCCCGGGCTACGCTCTCAACGCACGCGTACATTTCTGCAATTAACATGCACCGCGTATTCCGAAACAACGAATACGAACGTCGTAAAGAACGTGCGACACTGGAGTTCGGTCCTTGGTGAAGCTCATCCGCGGGATGTATACCTGACCTTTGGAAGTCAACGGATACGACAGGGGACAACCTCAGCAATAGTTACAAACATCTTGTTTTATCTCATTAATATTTTGCGTGAAACAAATTCTCGAGATTGACTAAGAGCATCAGCTTGGAAAGAGCATCGGTACAAGCGACATACTTTTTAAACACAGTCATTCAACAAGCTTCGCTAAGGTGGTTCCAAGCTGGTGTGTATGGGCTGCACTGCACATCATCACCCCCTCTTCACGAGCTTTCAAAAAACGTACGGTTAAAGGGAATGTCTTGTGCGAAATAGGAACGATGAAAGGATGCAGCCATAGACCCTTCTCAAAAGTTCATCAAGCAAAGTTGGCGGTCACCATTGCTTCGACACGAAGCGCGTGATTGGATCCGATTCCTCGCCGAACGCTGACGTCACACTCGTTTTCAATACAAGCCGAGCCGAATTCGCGCCGAAGGCTGACGGAGCCCTCATGTCCAATAGATGCTCAGAGTATGTGATTAAGCAATGGCGAACAGGCGCTGGCGTGAACTTTGGAAAGGGGTCTGTTGGCGCAAGTCACCGGGGCACCTTTTGAACTCCCATTATGAGTCTTAATGCTCGAATCAATGTTTATAAAATGATTTGCTTTTCAATATTAGCTGCGAGCACTGCTAACGCGAGAAAACCCGCTTTTTGAGAGCAATGAAGCATCCGCGTATGTTTCGAGGGGCTGACGCTGACGACCTGCTTTTCACCTTTCATCGCGAAACCGAAACCAAAAACTTTAGATAAGTCCCCGCCCCCTTCAGCCGAGTGAGTCCTCCCCTCGGGGCAGAATGGAATCGCCCTGAGCGCGCGCAGCGCCGCCAGCCACCGTCTCGGCCACCTGCTCCCGGTGGGACCTTTATATTGGAAGGAACTGTTCATTGATTTCTTTTTACTTTATACTCTAGTTCCATATTCTAGAAGCATTAGAGTCACTTGACCTTGGTTTGATCATAACCTCAACACTATTCGTAACTCCTGAGGAGGTGACGCACCCAGCGGAAAAGACATGAAGGAGAGAAGCCTGCAGCTACCGCTTGTCTAAGTGTGGAGCAAAAACTGGCGCGGCCTGTCGGCGGAAATGTAAAACAGGGCAAAGGTAACTAAATACGCACGGTTGGAGTTGCGAATAGTGAAAGCTATATTAGTTCTGCTCAACAACCCAAAGCCCCCGAGCAAATGGGTCTGGATAATTCCCTGCTAAGGAAAACCATTCCGTGTGGACGTTACCATGTCCTGAAGACGTTGGATGTTATCGACATCAGCGAACAGGATCAGACGAATGTCAGCCGTGGAGAAAGCCAGAACTGATTTCAGGTTGATCATGGTCGTTTCCAAGCGGTTGCCGCAGGTCACCACCACCATCGTAATTGGGCTCCTGCGTTGAAGGCGCGATGTAAACATTTCTCTCTTTTTTACTTTCACGTAATATCGTTTAGACCTCTTTCTTGACATTCGTAACCTAAGGAAGACGACAATGAAAATTCGTGTTATTCTTGCCCTTTGTTTCCTCACCCTCTAAGGTTTAAAGTAACAAAAGCACGCGTTAGTTCGTTATTTTTATTTAGACACACTAACAACCACTTAAAAAAAAAACCTAGTAAACGGGCAGCAACAACTGCCTCAACTCGAAGCCAGAACAAGCGGCGACGTAATCTGGGGCCGATTATATGCCGCAAACGTCTATCATAGCCACGCGCTGAGATGCCAGAGCACAGTGCACGCTCTTAATTCCACATATTCTTAAAGGGGCTATGCAACGATATTGGGTAAGAACGTTTCTCACTTTACGCCGGCTTACAGGAACTATACTCCGTTTCACGATAACTCGGCGAACTGTGGAGGCTGCGGCCCCCGCAACCCACTAAGAGCGCCAGAGCAAGGCAGGTCATAACGCTCCATGGTCCAGCCAAGGGGGCCACGTTACCAACCACAGAAACGGCGCCGTCCGCGACAAAAAGTAGTTCTAGGCTTCCTTTCTCTTTTAACGACAATGGAACCCGCACGATTCCATCTCTGACGAGAAGATACAAAGAATAAAGAATAAACAATCGCAAATTTATGAATTTCAAATTTATTTAAACCAAAAAAGAGACGCTGCATCCGTATCCACTGTCGATTTTTTTTTTCTCCAGCGTTTTTTCTCTAACGGCGATCGCCAACGGCGATCGCCGGCGATCGCAGCCGTGTAATCGGCCGTTTCCTCTCAAACCATCGCACTGTGCCCTGGCATTAGCACCCGTCACAGATTCGCGGCCAAATTGAGCGTATGGTTGTCTCATGAATGTTCCTGGAGTGCTCGCTGTTCTAGCGAACGGAAATGTTGCTGCGGTGGGAGTTCAACCGAAGTTGGTTTGTTTCGGAGAAGACGACTCATGGCTAGCGGACAAGAGCCGGTTCCTCCGGGCCTCGCATTGGTCGCACAAAAGCTCCCTCCACGTCGGGTCACCTGTTTCGTTCCGACGCTCTTATTGAGCCGCGGGGCCTTAGCCTCCAAAGTGCGCCAAGTTATTGTTAAACGGATGAAAGTGGAGCCCAAGAATACTCGAACGCAGCAGCAATGACCAAAAAGCGTCTTTGTCGCGGTGAGATTCCAAGAATAAAAGCCTAACTTTTCTTTCAGTCTCTCCTTCGCAATATTTGATGACGGAGCTGTGGCGACAACGCCAACACTGCAAACCGCAGGAGTGCGTCATCAGTCTTCGCGACCCCGCTGTGATGATATTTAAACGCTGCTCATGCAGTGGACGCGAAGAATAGGTGGAGAGTCGATTAATGGCTCGTGACAATCAATGCCTCGACATGCATTCGGGTTGTGGCTCCTGCCCAATGGCTGGGATTTACGGAATAGTCGAACCTCGGCAATACTCAGTTCCGGTCCTGTGCTTTGTCAACACAACCACAGCCTCCTCTATACTGACAAAGCCTAGCAGATCGTCACGTGACGCGGCCGCCGAAAGTGAAAAGGTAGAGCGGCAGACAAGAGTCAGGTAACGGGCGCCCCGCTGCGGCGAGAAACCGAAACACACTTGTCCGGAACGATGGAATGTCCGCTCGTGCTTCTCGCGTTCCCCGGGCTACTGCTTCTTTTCTCGTCGGGTTTGATAACCATGTTTCGGGTCCTCGCCGCTGCAAAAGCTGTGCGTTGAATACCAGACTCCCTGAGAACTGCTCTGTGCTACCAGATCCTCGCGCTCCCAATCGGCGACCGGGCACTCTATGGCTCCGTCTATCAAACTACCAGGTTTTGTGAGTATAGGGGAGGCTATGACCCAACGCGTGGCTAAATTAAAAACATTATCGGCATATAAAGCACTCCTAATCACGAAACCGATTTTTGTTTTTCTGGCTGCGAGTTGAGGGGGCAACTGGTCTGTTGTTTTTTTTTTTTTTTTTTTGTTTTTTTTTTCTTGGATTTTTTTTGCGACTGCCATTGTGTACAGAAAAAAAAAAGCAGCGTGTGTTTAATGGGTTATAAATGTTCGAGGGATAATTCTAAGGTGCATTTATTGAAAGAAGAAAAAATGTTTTATCGCCCCTTTTGAAGCGACCTACAGATTCGTCTTCTGCCGAGCAGAAAACCGCTTCCCGGTTTCCTTCTCCACTCCCTCTAGGAATCTTCTCTCCCCCTTCCCTCAAAAGCGGGCCTCTCTGCAACACTCCCTACTTCTCGAATGGAAAGGAGGAATTGAGGGAGAGTTCCCTCCTTTCTGGCTGCTCATCGGCCTTTAAGGGGTATTCACACGAGAGAGAAGTCCCGGGGATTTCCCCCGGCGCGCGCGCATCACGAGACGAAAACGCGAGGCTTTTGCACATCAAAAGCCTGACGTTCAACGTTGCGGGATGCGCGTGCCGTGGAGAAATCCCCGGGATTTCTCCTTCGTGTGAATACCCCTTTAAAGGGATACTTCAACGAAATTTGAAATATTCCCATCATGTTCAAAAATAGGTTGAATATGATCCACAATATCCGTAAATGACAATCGCACGTTTGTATTTTGAGCCTGGTGGCTGTATTTATCGTTATAAACGGCCCACTCTGGCAAGCGCTCCGAGAAGGCCCAGCTTAGAGCACGTGACATCCAACGCAATCGTGACGTAGTTCGTCTCAAGACGAGCAAAGCTACGGCGAGGCTGACGTAGAGAGGATGGCCTAGTCGTTCCAGCCACCGAAGCGGCTGCTTTTGTACGAATTTTGAGTGACGGGTTAATCTTCTATAATCTTCTAGGGGGACAATAGCGACTTCTGCGACACACAAAAGGGATTCTCGGGAAGAGGGGAGTTCCTCCTTCCCCCTTCTCTCGTCGTGGCCGGAGACGAGACAACCTCCGTCACTAGCTGTCAAGGTTCCTAGACGAGCATTACAAACGAGGCGTTAGCGACATCCACCAGGTGCTCTTTGCTAATCGTTTAATTCGTTTTAAAATTCCTTTTCGAGACTTTTTTAACAAGATATTGGTATGTTTCATGTGATACTGCTCTTTTGAACACATATAGACCAAAAAATGAGCGCCGAAATTTCGTTGTAGTATCCTTTTAAGGTTCGGCTTTTCACGCCATCGTAGCGATAGGGCACGAGCCACTACACAAGCGCTACTCGTGCAGTGCTCCTGTCCACTGTATGGGCCGCGCTTAAATATCGTCAGCACAGGGATCGCGAGGCTTGATGACCAAATCTCGAAGATCCCATTGCTGACAATAGGGACCTTTAGCAAAGCGTTGCGTGCTACGCGTACCGCACTACTGGAGCCTTTGAAGCATGCTTTTAAGCGCGCGCCCCGTGGTCACGGTACCACCCGGGCGCTAAAGGTTCCTATTGTCAGCAATGCGGTCTTCAAGATTTCGTCCTGGAGTTTGGCGAAGGAGAGGCTGAAATAAAACGTCCGCTTTTATCCCTGAGACTACGCGGCCACTAAAATACTTTCTGTTCAGTGTCCTCGAGTGCGAGTATACTTGGGTCCCAGTGTACTCGTTGTACAATCAAGAAAAAAAGCAGGCTTAGCGCAATATTTTTACGCTGCGCAAAGTAGCTCTTAAGAGATTTGGTTGTCGTGGAGAGAAACTGAATTGGGCGTTTGAACCGTGTACTTTTGGATAAAACAGCGTATTGCTAATCTATAAAGCGCCTTCACATATCTTAATTCACCCAATAAAGGTGATAACTAGTAGTGTTCTGCGGGGAGTAGAACTTTTTTTTTACTGCCGATCTTGAGCTTTGAGTTGACTACAAGTATAGTTCCAGTAAGCTTGTGTAAAGTGAGAACCATCCCTACACAATATCATTGTACGGTCCCCCTAAGAGTAGATGCCGACTCCATGAGTCTTCTTTTTAAAGTCCATCTGGGTCACGAGCCCGAAGAAGTCCACTCGTCTGAAGGGCATACATGAATTGCGCAAGACGTCTCTTAGTAGTACTGACGGTAAAGGCTCATTACTGCTTTAGTACCCACACTTAAAACGAGACAAAAGGATGGTGCCTACAGATAGAAATCTCAACCTTTCATCTAGGGCATTAAGGTGGTACATACTAGCTGATTAAATGTTAAGGCATCGCTCTCTTTCCTTACTAAGCGAGACCAACAAACTTACCATTGTCAGCGGCGGACTGTTTCGCAGACGACCGAGGTCGCGATGCTTCTAACCAGTAGCGCCATCTCCCGATAGTCGGAGCGAGCAGATGCCGGACTTTGTTGTCTGCTCGCTGCGTCTGCCGGGAGGTGGCGCCACACGTTACAATCATTGCTAACTGAGTCGTCTGCAGACACGTACGCGATACCCCCAAAAAGTAACTCAATACCGTTCCTCGTTACTGGCTCGAAACATAACTAAATACGTTACTCGTTAACGATACTGAAAAGAAAGGCGTTACTTTTCCACAAAAGTAGCGAGAAACCTTTGTTGATACTTTGACGACCAAATGCACAACTGGTTTTTATTTTATGGTTTATTATTTTCTTATTAGTAGCCGCGTCATTGAAGCAGTAAGTACCTCTCGAAGTTTTCATCAGTCATGTTTCCTGCTTCCCTGAGAATAGATCTCCCGCGACGCTGAGGTGCCGTTCTACTGACGCGCTCGAAGAAACGGCAGTGTTGTGTTTCAACAAGAGCTGACGAATCTGGGATTCCTTTCTCTCTCTCTCTTTTGTTCTCACTGTTTCTAAAGTTTGAAGTTGACAAGAGGTTTTGTGCCTTCCCGCGTTGGCAACCTCCGGGTATACATTCGGCCTGCGAACGATTCAGGATGGTTCTACAAACGAACCTTATTGTGTTCGCCATAGGTATAGGACATTCCCAGCTGTAGAGTTCGTCTGACGTGTTTCGCGATAAACATAAGATACTGTCATACTGTTTAGTTGTTTTTCTTTTGGGGGGGGGGGGGGGGGGGGTTGCTCATCTGGTCTTT